AGTAGAGAGAGCCCAAATGACCCACCAACCGATATACCCGAGAAAAATGACTGCTACTCGGTTCAATCAGGGTTGTATCATGTTATTTTAAAGCCCTTGGTGTGCAATTTTTAGGAGATGAAAAATACTCGAATACTCGAATATTCGATCGGAGAAAATCAGAGTACTCGAACTCGGGATCTCAGTGCGAACTTTCACCCCTAATATATATATATATATATGATTGGAAATTTTTATTTCCATTGCTATCAGGTTCGGCCTCATTTTCTCTGTGCTGCGCTGATGAGTTCAAAAAGAACGAAACAGCATGCTGTCCGCAGATTGAGTATTTCGCTCCTGCTCTTGTAGCAGTTGAGCACTCTTGCGTGGGGTAGTGCCTTTGCTGTATGCGTTATGCAGAGCTCACTGACTTGTCAGTTTGAGCACTCTGGCAAGGTACGTTCGGACCTGATTGGAAATTTTTATTTCCATTGCTATCAGGTTCGGCCTCATTTCCTCTGTGCTGCGCTGACGAGTCCACAAAGGACGAAACAGTTCTGTCCGCAGATTGAGTATATATATATAATTATATTATATTTAGTGTCACATCTATTGTCTCACCCCTTTACGCTCAGCTTTAGTGTCACATCTATTGTCTCAACGTAGTACGTGGAGATGGTCGCTCTGATCGGACGTCATCATCGCCATGACAATTCCACTGAAAAACTCTAAAGTGATAGAAACCGTTCTAATGGGACACTTCAACTAATCTCTTTATAAAATTTGTTTGCACAGTTGATGAAGACAACTCGAACGAGCCCTAAATATATTATAATTATTGTCTCACCCCTTTGCCTTCTACCTGTGGCACTTTATTTATTATAAGTTTATTTCGTTCTCGGTACACACTATAGAATGTAATGTTTACTTTACAATCCATGTGTTTGCATGGTTGAACTTTAGTCACGATATTCTACTGATGAGTGTGATGTGAAGATCGATTTTGGAAAACCTTCATGACTCCATTGATGCGTCACGTGATGACCACGGAATGTATGCTGTATTTTACTGTTTTGAAACACATAGACATGCAGACTTATAAGGCTGCAGTGACCTCAATGCTTCGTCATGATAAATAATTATTATTGGAAAAGCATGTTTTTGAGAACACGTAGGCTCCACTGCATGCAGCCAATTCATATTACTGATATTCAAGTAGTCACTTTTGTCACTTAGGGTATGCCACGTTTCTATGCAGAATGAGCCCTATAAAGATCAGTCTATTCTTATTATTCTTTCATCCAACATCATAATTATGCCTCCACTGATGAGCTCAGGAGGAGCGAACAGCTGTCTGGAGGGTCATTGTCAATATCAATTATCCATATAAATGACAGTCATATGAATGTACAGTCATGTAGTACAATTTGTTCCCAAAATAACTTCGGGACAGTCTGTTCATGGTTTTCATTTGTATTGGACTCGTTCTCTACACTTGCGATAATTTAGCGGCAATTATAACGTTGTAGCGTTGTTCTCTTGTAATTTAGTGGAACCTGTATTGAGTAACTGAGTTTTATGTTTCGTTACATTGTCGTCAGATCTCCTGTGTACCGGTTTTGTGGCACAATGATTATAGCCATTATATTTGGTCGTCTCCATTCTTGTGCAATCATGCATATGTAGGTTGGTTCTCTTCATGTTATTGTGACCAATTTCATAGATGTTGGTCGCCTTGTTGCTTTCTCTCCCCTCTCCTCTCACCCAAGCCATTCTGCATAAGCGAAGCTGTGGACGCAGCATACTGCTGCTACACTTCAACGCGGGAATGCGTATAATAATAATAATAATATGAATGACATGACTGCCGCCTTGCAATCCAGCCTCAAGCGTCTTGAAGAGTGGGGAGAACGCTGGCGCATCAGATTCGAGCCCTCTAAATCGCAACAGGTGCTGATGACTACGAAAGCCAGACACCATGCTGTCCCTGACGTCAAGTTCGGAGGTATCGCGGTTCTGGAAGCCAACACCATCAAGTTTCTTGGAGTGACATTTGACGCCAAGCTGTCATTCCGGGATCACTTGCACTCGATTGCGACACGTGGCTGCCAGAGACTGGGTGTTCTCCGTCGGGCTTGCCGTGTGTTAGATTACCATGGCTGGCTTGCAGTAAAACTCCCCAGGTCCGGACGCTCCTAATCGGGGCATATCCGTCTACAGGGCACCTTTCTGACCCATCTAGAGCCTGACAAAATGGCTTTTCAATGAAAAACGGTCCCAAAAACTATTGATTGGCATAACAAATATGTCTACTTGCATGCCAGTAAGTGGGTATGTTTTGAGCTAGGGTCAATTTGCCCGGGTTAGGAGAGTTTCCCGCTTTCCTGCACTCACTTACCTGGATGGGCGTCTCTCAATCGCCGGTCAACTCTGCGCGTAACATCTTCCGGTGCATGCTGCATGACCAGGACCATGAACGTGTGGAAGTCTGCAGCGCCGCTTTTCTCCAGGAATTCCAGCAGCTGCGTATTTCGCTTGACTCTGCCGCTGAGAGAGCCGATCGTCTCGCACTGCTGCTCGCTTAGCAGACCCTTGCCGTGGGCCAGACCTGCTAGGGTCGTTGAGCTCACGCACAGGATCAGAATCGGCTTCAAGTCCTGAAACGCCGGGCTGCCCCAGGCCTCTTCCAACGTCGCCATGCCGACCGAAGCTGTTGCCACCCATATAAGGAACACAGCGCACACAGAGTGGATAGTTACGTTACCCCTATTATAGCCAACAACTAATGTAAGTTTAACTCGGATGGTGAGTCAATTAAAATATGGTGAAAAAAGATGACAAAAAGAGAAGTGTTGGAGAAGTGTTGGAGCTAGGCGTGAGGTCGCCGGTTGTCTCAGTACTCCTTGTCAGTTTTGTGCCCACCATTATCACACACAAAGTATGAAAGGCACTGAAACTACCGGATCACTCAAAACCTGCTTCTGGTGGTCCTGATGTATGTATGTATGAGTGAGTGTGTGTGTGTGTGTGTGTGTGTGTGTGTGTGTGTATGTGTGTGTGTGTGTGTGTGCGTGTGCGCGTGTATGCACTCGCGCCTGTGTGTGCGTGTGTGGGTGTACACATGCACGTGCGTGTGCGTGTGTGGGTGCATGTGTGGGTGCATGTGTGTGTGCATATGTGTGCGTGTATGTGTGTGTCTGTGTGTATGTGTGTGTCTGTGTGTATGTGTGTGTGACATTGTGAGCATACAATGTATGTGTGCGTGTGTGCGTGTGTGCGTGCATTTGTGTGAGTGTGTATGAGGACAGGACAGGACAGGTGTGTGAGTGTGTGTGTTTGCGTGTGTTTGTGTGTGTGTGTGCGTGCATGTGTTTGGTTTGAGTAAGGGGCTTGGGGTATTTCTGTTCTGGCCCACGTGAAAAGAAACACCCCAACACCATTGACCAAGCAAGCAGGTGGAAGTAAGACCATACTGCAGAAATGAATTCGTGCTTCATCACAGCACACTCGCAATGAAGTCTATAGTTACCGATGGCAACTGAAATCCGACCCCGGAGCGGTGTGTTCACTTCCTAGCGGCCTCTATTTCGTACTGTTACAATCACATGCCGGGTCTTTGTGATGGGAGCGCACTGCTCAGGGGCCGGATTTCAGTTGCCAGCATTGTAGATCTAATCCGACCCTTACCTTTCTTGCTACTCCTGCCACGCTTGCCGTAGCGGTTTATGTGGTCAGTCGATGAGGGTACTCTGCGGGTCCGACCATCCAAGCTTAGGGCTGCCTGATCAGACAAGGGCAAGGACAACATGTGTTGTTTCCCTGGGCAGTTGGGAGCATTCGTTACTCTATCAGTCGATGCTCTGTTTCATTTGTCCGAGTATGTCAGAACAAAACAACGTTCTTGGAACTTCTCCCAAATCAAAACTGTGATGCCAAAGTTTCACGAAGAACCTTTCTAGCTTGTAGAACTCAGTTCCTTTCGCCCAAACGTTTCTTTACGAGGGTGGACCAGACGCTGTTCTTTAGTACTTTACGCTGCTCGGACGATCGGTGTTTTCCTGTATTCCATGAACAAGTCTACCCTGCTATATGTTCTACCCCAGTGCCCCAGTTTGCCCTGCCTGACGCTCAGACGACACTGGTGACTTGCATCGAGAGTACAAGGATCAAGAATCGGGGCCCACGCGAGCGGTCATAGTCGTTAGCACTGTAGATTTACTAGTAGATCTACCGTGTCTACTAGTCTACTGAAAAGGTGTGGATCTGCTAGCGCATAGCAGCAGCAGCAATGGCGGGTAGCACCAATGCATAGATCTAGTGATATGCGAACAAGGACGGTCAACAATGGGCAATGCTGCTTTGCGCTGAGCGCTGGGAGAGAGCTATCTAGAGCTGGCCTGACTCGATCGCGCAATGGGATTTCGTCGAGCGGCACGAAGCCTGTGCGTGATGTGGGTGATCGACTACCGGTACCGGGATACGGATGGACAGATGGCGGACGTAGATCTACGCGTGCGTGCATGCAAAGCACAGTTCCGAGGACCGAGTCAGGTGGTCAGCAGACGGTGGCGTATGATGCAGCCTGGAAGGCGGCAGCGAGCCGGAAATGCGCTATGAACAGTGACCAGCTGGGCGCGACAGGGCCGCTGAGTGAGGGCACCCTAGACTGCAGTACACTAGTGCTAGCACACGAGTCTACTGCTAGTCAGGATAGCTGTGTTGATAGCAGCCGCAAGAACATGTGCCTAATAAAACAATAGACATGGTAAGTATTTTACTGTTCACCGATCACGCTATTTTCGACGGTCGGCCCGCACTGTTTTTGTGTGTGTGTAGACATGGCATTTTACAGTTCACGCGCTAGATCCAACGGCACTCGTACCCCAAACCAAAAATACCGTCGGTTTGGTACCTTTTACACGATAGAAAGCTCTTTTCAGCGGGAGAACGAAACGGTAAGATTCCAACTAGGGTTACCTCACACGTCTATCGTTGCGTCAGGAGTCAGGACTCAGAAGCCGAACTGTTAACCATGTCTCGAAAACACATCAAATAGCGTGAACGGTAAAATGCTGATACATACCATAGACTCCCGCGTATAAGCCCATGCCCGCGTATAACCCCATGCCCGCGTATAAGCCCATGCCCGCGTATAAGCCCATGCCCACGTATAAGCCCATGCCCACGTATAAGCCCATGCCCGCGTATAAGCCCATGCCCGCGTATAAGCCCATGCCCGCGCATAAGCCCATGCCCGCCCATAAGCCCATGGTTTGTTCAAACATAACAAAGCAGGTGAAGTTAATCGGGGTGCTAAGTCGACTGGCCTTGGTCCCAGGAAGCTGAGACGCTCCATTCCTCCTTTATTCCCAATCGAACTTGGGCACTTCCACCGAAACTGGGTGACTGCGCCCTACTAGATAGGGATTTGTATGCAAAATGTCACTAAAAGCGCCATTTCATTCATATAAAAGCACGGATGACCGCCCATATGTTGTAGTCTTTTGAAGTTTTGGACGCTGAGTCGACTGGCTTTGTTCCGAACATGGTGCGATGCAGCGTTCCTCCTTTATTCCCAATCGAAGTTCGGAACATGGTTGAACAAGCGGTCACGTGCTCCTGCGTACACCAGTCACCTGATCACCCTGCCAGCATAGCGCCTGCAGGGTAGGCCCCGGCGGATAATGCTAGTTATTTTCGGCAATTATGCTACTAGCACTGCTAGTAAAAGTGGCACATTATGCTAGTTTTAATGCTCGTTATGTTCAATTTAATGCCACTTTATCAGCTAACAAAGAATAATAAGCAAACGCTGGTGTAAACAAAACGCTCCCATTCTCACCGGTGCACCGCCTTGTCATGTACACCCATCACAAGTTTTTTTCCCACGCTTGTGCCCAGCTCCCAACCAGAGTCATAGATCTACTACATGTACATGTACAAGACTACTAGTTGTAGTAGCCTAGCTCGGCGGGTAATGCTAGCATTGTAACTGGCATTACGAGCATCGTTTTGAGAACTAGCAATGCTCCAGCATTGTACCAGGATTTGGAGCCAAAACAAGCATTAGCGCCCAAAAGTGTCATTTTCTCACTTCATGAGTGTGCATTACTGAATAAAACAGGAGCTCTACAATGTAACGTACACACTGTACTTTGTACCAGCGGCTTTAGGCAGTTTTGCTTAAACGTTAGCCTGCGACTTCGCAACATGCGTCTCTTGTTGCGAAACTTAGTGGCAGCTGCTAGGTATAGACGTACCACGTTGATGCCAGCATGGGAAACGGAAAGAAACCTTGTCTTTCCTATTCACAGAGTCATGCAGTGCTGGCTTGCTTGCACCATGAGTACATCAAATGGAAATGTGTTGGAAGTCTCTGATTCTTCGGAGGAAGAGAGTGAGAAAGATGAGTACGAGACAGAGGAGGATAATAAGGAAGACGAGAATGAGGCAGAGGTGGAGGATGAGCCCGGTGAGGCATGCGCACGACTGCCCAAAGCCAAAGGAGCAAGCATATCGAGGGTTAGATCACTTATATTGTACTTTTTCATACCACACAATATACTAAATTTCCAAAATAGCATTCCGTATGCACCCTCAAAGTACTTTGAAGACTGTCGACGTAGGGTTCTGATTTACTGTTATTCACTGCTAGTTCATGATAGCAACTTCAGTTCCACATCATTTTGAAATAGCATCACCATATAATCTAGTTTCAAAGTACTAGGTACTTCCAATAGCCGTATTCCGTGCAGTGTGACTTACATTATGACACAATGCCATATGAGGGGTTCACATTGCCTTTTCAAGTAGCATTACAAGTCCAAATTATCATTCTAACGAGCATTATATGACCGAATAACTAGCAATGCTGAAAGCATTTTGAGCTGAAATAACTAGCATTACCTACAGAGGCCTAACTACTAGTAGGGAGCTAGACATTGAAGACATTGAAGATTTGAAGTGAACCAGTGTTTTCGGATGCGAACACAGTTCTATAATTCGTTTGCGTGTATATTTCTCTGCAATCGACTGGTCCCGTACGAGTCCGATCGACCGTCCTCGATGGCGACACAGATAGTCTTTCACGGGTACTGGAACTGGAAGTCACAAGGACATTAGCCTTAGGAAGTAATTAGTTAGGTACCTTGCTCACTAGCTACTACATGTACATGACTGTAGTACAATATGCTAGTTTTCGCAAGAATATGCTAGTTTTCTGCAAGAATATGCTAGGTTTCGCAAGAATATGCTAGTTTTCGCAAGAATATGCTAGTTTTCGCAAGAATATGCTAGTTTTCGCAAGAATATGCTAGTTTTCGCAAGAATATGCTAGTTTTCGCAAGAATATGCTAGTTTTCGCAAGAATATGCTAGTTTTCGCAAGAATATGCTAGTTTTCGCAAGAATATGCTAGTTTTCGCAAGAATATGCTAGTTTTCGCAAGAATATGCTAGTTTTCGCAAGAATATGCTAGTTTTCGCAAGAATATGCTAGTTTTCGCAAGAATATGCTAGTTTTCGCAAGAATATGCTAGTTTTCGCAAGAATGTGCTAGTTTTCGCAAGAATGTGCTAGTTTTCGCAAGAATGTGCTAGTTTTCGCAAGAATATGCTAGTTTTCGCAAGAATATGCTAGTTTTCGCAAGAATATGCTAGTTTTTGCAAGAATATGCTAGTTTTCGCAAGAATATGCTAGTTTTCGCAAGAATATGCTAGTTTTCGCAAGAATATGCTAGTTTTCGCAAGAATATGCTAGTTTTCGCAAGAATATGCTAGTTTTCGCAAGAATATGCTAGTTTTCGCAAGAATATGCTAGTTTTCGCAAGAATATGCTAGTTTTCGCAAGAATATGCTAGTTTTCGCAAGAATATGCTAGTTTTCGCAAGAATATGCTAGTTTTCGCAAGAATATGCTAGTTTTCGCAAGAATATGCTAGTTTTCGCAAAAATATGCTAGTTTTCGCAAGAATATGCTAGTTTTCGCAAGAATATGCTAGTTTTCGCAAGAATATGCTAGTTTTCACAAGAATATGCTAGTTTTCGCAAGAATATGCTAGTTTTCGCAAGAATATGCTAGTTTTCGCAAGAATATGCTAGTTTTCGCAAGAATATGCCAGTTTTCTGCAAAACCTGCTGATTATGCTAGTGCAATGCTAGTTTCCAGAAAGTGCCAAATATGCTAGATATTATAATGCTAGCATTATCCGCCGGGGCCTACTGCAGGGTGGATACAACTTACAGCCTGTTTGACTTTTTTTTGGGTGCGCTCCTGTCACTCGAGTTGAACTCGAATTGAACCTTGGTGTGAAAGTAAAGTTAGTTGTCGTTTGCGGGTCCGTCGACCAGGTGACCCTTCCATGCTCTCTCTCATGCAGCACACGATATAGCTCATATGAAAAATCAAATGAGGGTCATGCATCTGTCGACAACGTCGAGCCAGTGCGTTCTGTCCGAGGCAAGTTGCTCCGCTTCCAAAAGAGACATAATTATTGAGAAGTAAAAGGTCATTTCTAATGTTGTCTACCCATCTGGTCACTGGGCGACATCTGGGCTTCCTTTTATATCTGTTACTTCAAGTATATTCATTGCCATGTGAAGGGCTTTGTAGGACACAGCGTCCTTCCCTTCGCGAATGATATGTCCAAACCATACTAAGCGCCGGTGTCTACAGACTGCACTTATTGGGCACTTAGGGTATTTAGAAAAGCGATCCTGTCAGCTTTTCTATTATTGTGTTCACATGGCAAGAAAAACGACATCGCTATGCTACGTAAGTTTCTACGTAAGGTGTTCGGTATTTCACTTAGGCTACGTACGTTTCTACGTGAGGTGCTCGGTATTTCACTACTCCATAGCCGCGTGCTGTGCACGTGCACGGCAGACATTGTGCTGCAGTCCGTTTTCGGATGTGCATGCGCGAGGAACTTCCTTCTTTGGAACTGCTTCTTGCATGAGCTGTTTCGGATATTTCGTCTCCTGGCTTATTTCGCTTCGGCTCTGCTGAGAATCCTCCTTTTACGGAATATTACTCAATGACAGGTGAGTTGACCAGTTCCCTTTGATTCATTTGCTCGTGTTGACTCTTTCATTTACGAAAAGTGTGCTGATTTTAGGTGGAATACAATAAATAATGGAAAAGCTGACAGGATCTCTTTTCTAAATTTAGCTTTTCTGCTGTCGTGGCCTTCTTTTACGGAATACTCAATGACAGGTGATCTCTGAGTTGCCCAGTTTCCTTCGATTCATTTGCTTATGCTCACCTTTTCATTTACGGAAACGTGTGCTGATTTTATTCGGATTTAGATCCATTCGTATCTCTTTGCCCTTGCCAACAGTGTGCGAAGAACGCGAGTTCACCTTCTTGATGGTAAGGCTTATGTTGCTGCTGAGGCTTAGATGGTCATTGTACATTGGTACGTTACAAGTAAGGCGCTGGTCATGATTGCTTCCGGCATTCCGTGCTCCGATCATAGGGTAGAATCTGAATTTTGCAGTGGCATAGCATCGTTGGCAGTTCCCAATCTGGAGGGAAAGGTTCAAGGACGCATTGGCCGAGTATGCAAAATAAATTTGCATATCAGGGAAAATCTCCATTATGGAGAGGTTCATGCATTCAGTGACATGTTTGCTTCATACGAAACAAGCCAATGGGTGCAGTCTCGTCTCGTGAAAATCTCGTACGATTGGATTTGTTTACTCGAGTCTGGGCTATTTGATTTGTGAGTAGAGCCGAGATTGAACTGCCCCAAATAAAGTTGCATGCCGGCAAAGCAAAAATTACGATTTGCAATCTGTTTGTAGTACATACCTGCAAGAATGTGCTGTACATGTATCGTATTTTCTCTATTGCTGTTTCAGTTGCCGTCATGTTGCTAAAGAAAGGTTCAGTGACTCATTTGTTTCGTATGAGACCAGTCAATGAGTCGGTTTGGCTTAGAGTCTTTCGCTGTAGAAGAAATCTATTCGCCGTATCTCTATTGGAGAAATAATTGTATTCACTGGTTATAAAATTGGGTTAAAACAAACTCACAGAACAAATACCATCGGCCCCTTGGTATTCGTCCTAAAGAGGTTCGACTGGATATCATTCATACTCACCAAAAGATGTGTAACATTAATATTATGGCCATAGCTTTTGCCCTATATCCTCTGGATCAGTGTAGTTGTTGGAATGAGGCGTCGGACTCAACAATGTATTTTAATATATTTTAATACATGTATAGTTAGGTTGAGTTGGGTAACTCCGCTCTTCTTCCTCGCTCACCGGAGGAATTTCTCTAGTCTCCTCGCGCAACTGGGGAGCACTCCAATGGAGAGAGAAAGATTTTTATAGGGCGGCTTGGTGTGAGAGGTGGACTGAGACTTGACGGCGCTAACGGCGAATATCAAGACCTTACGGCCACGGAGCTGCGGGACTCTGCGCTGGTCGTCTATCCGTGCGGAGGCAAAGCAAACGCGGGCAACATTCTGCTGAAGCGAGCGTGGAGCTGAAGCTGGATTGGTGACTGACGTACCTCCTTACTCCACAACACCGGCGCATAATGATGTGCATGTACAAGACTTCGTGAGTATTCAACTCAAATTCGTGTTCCGTCAGCGTCAGTATCAGCAAGTACACTCATGTAGTACAATTTGTTCCCAAAATAACTTCGGGACAGTCTGTTCATGGTTTTCATTTGTATTGGACTCGTTCTCTACACTTGCGATAATTTAGCGGCAATTCTAACGCTGTAGCGTTGTTCTCTTGTAATTTAGTGGAACCTGTATTGAGTAACTGAGTTTTATGTTTCGTTACATTGTCGTCAGATCTCCTGTGTACCGGTTTTGTGGCACAATGATTATAGCCATTATTTGGTCGTCTCCATTCTTGTGCAATCATGCATATGTAGGTTGGTTCTCTTCATGTTATTGTGACCAATTTCATAGATGTTGGTTGCCTTGTTGCTTTCTCTCCCCTCTCCTCTCACCCAAGCCATTCTGCATAAGCGAAGCTGTGGACGCAGCATACTGCTGCTACACTTCAACGCGGGAATGCGTATAATAATAATAATAATAATACATGTATTGTTCCTTCTTTGCTGTATTGTTTTAGACAATCGTGGACTAACACTTTGAAGTCATTGAACTACTTCCAAAAGTTGAATCGACATCAACAGGATTACGATATTAGTGCATTATGATGCAGGATGACCTTATCTCGATAACACAATGTGTTATTGTAGGCATGTCATGACTACAATTATAAGCACGGAACAAAAACATCTGCAAGCCTAGTGCCATTTTCTGCAGGAAAATGCTTGCACATCAATGCGTATAATACGGTATTATTGTTATTTTTATTATTATTATTTGTTTTACATCGGAAGCTCAACAGTGCAGCTGCACAAATATGAAGAGGCTGATGGGACCAAAAAATAAATAAAAAAATAAAAAAATAAACAATGTGTATTGAATTTGATATGATGCACATGTAGAGGCGCTAGGCCATCATTTAGGGCATTCCATTGGTGACATACATTGTATTATAATATTATCCTTAGCTAAAAAAAACAAAAGAAATTATAGCAATAAAAACTGCTTTATGGCAGTTTTCTAAAAAATGTTATTGTGTTCTAGTCCATGGACCCCGTCTAAAAAGTAAGAAAAATTAATAACGAAATGTGATAGCCGAAAATTAAAATTTCACAAAAACCTCACAATACTCACAACACTTGTACTTGTACTGCACCAACAATGGACATGCATGCATGGGAAAGAGAATCACTAGGGGAAAAGGTCTTCTAGCTTTTCATCTTGTGTGTGATTATTGTGAGGTTTTGTGTGAAATTTTAGTTTTCGTCTTTCACATTTCGTTAATTTCTTACCTTTTAGACGGGGTCCATGGACTAGAACACAATAACTTTTTTTAGAAAACTGCCATAAAGCAGTTTTTATTGCTATAATAATATATTATACTTTGCAATATACTTTGCTACATTACCCACTTTAGTAGAGGTTGTAACTTTTCAATTTTCAAGTGACTTAAAATTTTCTCTTCAATTGTAAAAGAAAAAAATATTGAAGAGAATAAAGAAGTTTGAGCAGGAATCGAACCTGCAACTATGATATTCCCAAGTACCTATCTTGACCACCCAGCCACCAGCGTGCTGATGCTGAAGTTGGTTGAAAGATTGATCTTAAGTCTATAACACGCAATGCTGCCTACATAATAATACAGTCAAACCTCATTAGGACGAACTTCAAGGGACCGAACAAATTTGTTTGTCTTATCGAGAGTTCTTCTTATCCAGATCTGACAAAAAAACGATATACATATCAGATGGATTGTATTTACGTGAAGGTGCATGCTGTGGTACATGGGAAGCATGTTATTCTTAGCATAAGCCAGAAACAGGTAAGTACAATGACAAAGTCCAATGAATCACGACTGTGTCGAAAGTTCGTACAACGCACTGATTGATTTGTTCAAAACACGCTTGAAAACAATTTGCACTGTACGTACAATATGACCTCGACTATTGAAAAAAAGAAGAAGAAAAAGGCAGCCAGCGTACGCGCACGCTCGTGGACCGAAAGTTCGTACTACAAGTACATGACCACACCGACTTTGTTCAAATCACACTTGAAAATAGTTTGTCTTCGCGAAAGTTCGCTGTACAGAAGTTCATCATAAACGAATAATTTTGACTTGACTTGATGCCTGGCCAACCATAGGATTGGCCTCAGTTCGTACTAATGGAAAGTTCGCCTTATCAGTGTTCGTACTAACGAAGTTTGACTGTAGTATACTATAGTGTACTGGGATACTAAAATAGCTATTTCCGACCAGTATTTCAGGCCAAAAACGAAGCTAGGTATAAATAGAAAAAACACCTCTGTCTTGTGTTAACCTTAATTTGGCCAACACCAGAAATCATTCAATTGTCAGAACTTTTTTTGGTTATCTTGGACTGTATTGAACCAATTAAGAATGTCTATAAGTTTGATCTAAATATGACAAGGCGTTATGGAAATATGTATATGTTCCCAAAAGGGAACGTTGGCCGGATCGGGTACCAAAATCACCCTGATTTTTATGCGAGGTTTATACGGCAGATTAAAATGAATTATTTTGCTGCGAAAGCTTTTGTGGAGCAATGCAAACATAAAACAATAGTAGTGAAGATAGAAATCATGAGATTGTCTTCACGGAGTGCCCATAGATGCTACTTGGCGGATCATGGCTGCGGATCTCGACCTAGCGTGTGTGATACAACTCGTTGCAGTTGGCACCATGATCGAAATGCAGCCGAACACCACACTTGGAGCATTTGCATCTCGTGTTTCGCTTGCAAACCTTACAACGACCTTGGGTTGTCGACTCTCTTGTGTGTCCGACGCCATCATATCTCACATCCACCGGAAGTCCGGATACTCGTGGTTCGGGGCGAAGGTCGGTTTTCAACAAACTGACGGTGATCTCACGACGAAACTCGATGTGGGACATAGGCTTCTCGTGAACCTTGCAGTGCAGACGCCAAGCAGCTACAACGGTCGCATTCAGGTGGTTGACAAATAATGCCCAGTACCACTTCTTGCCGGAGATGCGTGGGCGATAAGAACCCAGGAGCCGATCGAAAAGATCCACACCGCCCATTCCCTTGTTATAGAGTTGGATGAGATGTGGCTGGGTGACAGTGGTGTTAGACACATTCTTCACCCTCCTTTTCACAGTTGCAAGGGGCTCGTGTGTGGCATAGTTGCTGGCGGCATTCACGACAGAATTGTCATTCCACTTGCAGATGAACACGGTTCCGTTGCAGCGGTAATCAAATGTGCCTCGGGCCTTCTTCTTGAGCTCTTTTGTTGAGACCAAACGCTGGTTAGCACCTCCAGTGCGGTTGTCCCGAACAGTACCGACTGCACGCATGTTTTTCTCGGCCAGGATTTCCAAAAGGCTGTAGCTGGTGAAGAAATTGTCGAAGAATAACTCGTGGCAGCGGGTGTCGGAGTGGACTCGAATTACATCGACCATGTCGCCAACCACTCTCAGGCCCAGTGGACTCACTGGCCTGCCTTCCTGGCGACCGGTGTAAATTTGCAAGTGGTACGGGAATCCATCACTTCCACATAAACACCAAATTTTGTAGCCGAACCGGATGGGCTTCCCCTTTATGAACATCTTCGCACTGTGTTTGCCAAAATATGGGACCATCGACTCGTCGATACTCAGCAGAGGATGGAAGATGTTCCACTTTACCAGCTGCTCGTTGAGGCTATCATATAGCGGAGCCACCTTTGCCATTTTATTTCCTTCTTGTAGAGCTTGGTTGTCCACAAAGTGAAGGTATTGTTTGATCGATCGGAATCGGTTACGGCTCATCGCTGTTTGTACAAGTGGTACTCCGAGGTCTGGTTGCGTTGACCAATAGTCGCTCTCAGTTGGCAAAGTGTGGTAACCAGAAAGAAGAAGGATTCCTAGAAATCTCTCCAGATCTACTGCCTCCAAGCCGAAGCTGTCGTTGTTTTTTTCCCGTGCTGCATACAGTAATGATTGATCTACAATCTTCTCGATCAGTGCAGGTGTGTATATTCCCCGCCAGAGATCCATAGGCGACGCCGTTATAAGTTCAGGATGATCGTCAATAAATGAGGGCAGTTCCATTTCAGGAAGGATGGTGTCGAAAGCAGTCCTCTTCATCCAGCGTGTCGCACCCGCGGGTGTCCGCTTTGCCGCAGGCTCACCACTACCCTCATCCTCGCTATCATCAGACCCATGAACTTCATAATCTTCATCCTCAGACTCGTACTCATCTAGCTCCATCTCTCCTGCAGGTTCCATGATATGGTCGTCATCCAGTAAATCATCACGCCCGTCCTCAACATCGCTATCGACATTTGCGTCACCAGTGCTCAGCGGCAAAATGACCAGGTTCTCAGGTTGATCTGAGTTCTCAACAGCTTCCTCAGCTTCCAGCAGTGTAACTATTCTGGATGTCCTTTTAGGAAGGACTCTCCTCCCGTAGAAAGCTCCATCAGCCATACCTTACTACAAATAATACGCTATTTTTTGACAAAAATTCAACCGCGCGCGGGAAAAGCAGCAACGGATCAGGATGAATGCATGAAGCCTCTGTAATTTGTAACGTCTATTGAACGAGTGGTTCTAGTTTCGAAAAAGACAAAACAAAATAACTTAGGGACTTTGTATCGATCGGTGCCGAATCAACCCCCTTGGAGGCGACTCCTCGGGTCATTCCACGCATTGCTAAATAGCCGTTCGACAAAATTATGGTTGCCATGGAGATTTTCAAGGCACCATATAAACTTGAAAAGTCTCCATTCCGGTTATATTCACCTTCCTGAATACTTCAGACAAGGGATATGTGGGCATGGCTTGATTCCAGAGAACTTACCATAATAGGGTACATTTGGGTATCGAATCCGGCCAACGTTCCCTTTTGGGAACATCAAAGAAAGACGCAGGGTGTTTATGTAATATTACCAAATTTCTCTTGATTTTTTAGGCCAGTTGTATTGCCAAAGGACCGGGGATCACATCTCATATAGGGTTTGCCCTGAAAAAAGCTGTTTTCCACATCAATAGTGAACATTTCTAACGTTCATACGAATACCAAGAATTACCGCCATTTGGTCTAATATTGAGGAATTTGAAAAATTCTGAAACCCACCAAGTACTTTGTTATTCATGATCAGCAAGCTTCCAGTTATGCATAGAAACAAAAATAGTGCAGAAAAACGAAAAATTACTACCTCAAATACAAAGAAGAAAAACATGTTCCCTTTTGGGAACATTGGCCTGATTAAGGTTAATGGGAATATAAACACTGTCTATAAAACCCTCGGCTACGCCTCGGTTTTTATAATTTTCACAGTTCGCGTCAGACTCGGTTTCTCTATACAGAGGCCGAGCTCGGTTTTTATAGCAGTGTGTATATTCCCATAAACACTACGACATCGGTGTTTATTCTATATATATACACCAGTATGAAAACCGAGGCGAAGCCGACGTTTTTATGACTGGTGTATAAGCAAGATTCTGTAAGGACAGCGGTTCCGCACGCACTCTGACGATCGTCGTTGCTTGATTGTTAGCGTCGACCGACTTGCGACCGTCTACAATACAGACGTCACCAATGAGATCTTGGCATGAGCAATGTTCACCCCATTCACGCACACATACACCCACCCACATACCCATGCGCGTACTGCTTACACTTCACCCTCTTTGAGTCTCACATTGTTATTATATCTCACCTGCCCACCTCTGTTATTAGTTCACACTTCTCTTGTATTTCACACTTCACCTTTTTTCTCCTATTTTCTTTCACATACTGCTTTTCGTACTCTGCCACGTATATATCGTTGTTTATTGCTAGATTTCATTAGTTAGACGTATTCTCCCTGATTAATGTCTACAAAACGTGTTCGGAAACTTTTTTATCCATTTTTTCGGACATGACTACGTCCAATGTCCGCGTCGCGGATTCTGGTTATTGCCATATTAATGTTATTGTCTCCGCGCCGCTTATTATTATTCTATTACATACACGTCCATCGGAGAATGTGTAATCAGGTCATTCCAAGCCTCAATGCTTTCAAAACCCAAAGCAAAGTTATTTTCTGTGAAAGTACACATACCTACATGTATATAGAACGTAAGAGAACAAAAAGAACCAAAACAACGAACACAATCGACTACAAAGGGCATGTAGGTGATATAAAAGCCATTCAGGTGAGGAAAAGTTAACTCTCTCGACCAGTGAACTCGTGAGCAAAGCGTCAATCGTGTACCCTGGGGAGAGAAAAGAGATTGTGTGTGGGTTCTAGAGAGGTAGCAAGAGGGAGGAAAAGAGGTAGAGAGCTACGTTAGCACGTGCGTTGGAGTGGAGTTAGTAGAGAGGTTCTGCAGAACGAAAATGTGTACAAACTTTCGCTCTACGTCATGAAGTGCGAAACTTCGCACGAACATTCGCAACTTTGGACGCGAAACTTGCAGGGAACGCGAAATGAACTTTCATGGGAAGTAGTTTCGTGAGATTGGGTCGTGGCGTAGATCTACGTGCACTTGGTGCCTGCAAACTACGAAAATGTGCAGAACGCAAAGTTCGTGCGAAAATTCGTACACACTTTCGCAAAGACTGTCGTGAAACTTCGTTCGAATTTTCGTTTTGCAGAACCTCTCTAGTGAGTAATAATAATAATACTCTTTATTCCCATAGCTATGCAGAAGACGTTACTTCAGTAACGTTTGGCGCTAGCCAGGGTCCACACAGCTTTAATTTGGTATTTGTGTGTTTGTTTGTTTGTGTGTTTGTGTCACGCCTGGCGCTATCCCGTATCTGTCCCGTACCGTACCATCAAACACAGCTGGCCACATGCACATACAGCTGGCCGCAATATTCAAATAGGGCTTTCAAACGCAAGATCATAACGTGAAGCAACTTGGAAGAATGAGTATGAATGCGAAGTGTATGGGGGAATGCATGTAGGGCGATAGCGCTGGTTCGAATCCCAGGTTATGCCTAAAAAAATAGACGAATTGAAAAAATTATAACATCCTTATGCATGTTTTGCCTAGGTCATCAAGGCGGTAGACGGTGTCGTATTATCCTCGACCGTATCTGTCCCGTACCTGTCCCGTACCGCACCATCAAAGACGGCTGGCCACAATGCATATTCAAATAGGGCTTTCAAATGCAAGATCATAACGTGAAGCAACTTGGAAGAATTAGTATGTATGCGAAGTGTATCGGGGATGCCTGCAGGGCGATAGTGTGGGTTCGAATCCCAGGTTATGTCTTAAGGTGGCAGACTATCCAAAAATTCGCTGAAAAATCGAATTTGTAAATTCATATTGAGTGCTACGTCAGTTGAAAGAGCGTGAATAGCTGCAAATTCTCTGAAAATTGTGTCCCGATCTGACCGGCCGTTCAAGAGTTATGGCCGAAAATGTGCCCTTGCAAGGAAAGATTTTTTTGTTGCACGCTGTCATTTGTTGGCAGCACTGTATTTGAATGTGAGCAGACCGTGCGCAACTTGTCGTATCATGGAAACACGTGAAAGTGTGCAGAATTTTGCTCCAAGTCCAAAAAATCAGGTTTTTGAGCCACGTATTGGGCTGCACGGCGGCGGGCTTCGCCCGCCGCCGTGCAGCAGGACTATTGCCAGCACCCTCGTGACGTTGCAGATATGTGGCTTGATTATTGTAGTTGACGTTGATTTAGTGACTTTGGCAAGTTTGAGTCGTGTCAAGAAGTCAGGTAGGATTCAGTACTAGGCAGTCGTGAAACGTGAGTGGAAGTCTTTGCCGGTTTCTGAGGGTATCCTGGATTTGGTGTGCAGCGCTGTGGAAATGGCTTGCTGTGGAGGTCCCAGCACTGGATGTTGTATCAAAGGTACGACCTCGTAGCACACCCTAAACCTAAAAAAATTCAAAAATTGACTTGGGTCTGTGGGAGTGTGTGAGAGAACGCCCACTCGTTCCGTTGTGACAGATTCCAGGGCCTCGTTGAGGGGCCCTACCCCATCACCTATGGCTGCTTCTGGACTTGTACTAGGTTTGAGTCCCGCGCACGAACAGAATGAGCACGAAAATGTGAAAAAATTGTAAATGCATTTGTTTGGCTCCTGGGTGGCTCGCACACCGTGGCACTATGCCGGAAATTTGAGTTTTTCCGGCCTGGAAAGCCTGTCAGTGAGGCGCAAGAACTTGTAAATCATGTCCTGAGGGCCAGCATAGTGGCAGGAGTGTGTGGTCAAAATTTCACTCAAATCCATTGAGAAACACCAAAGGTACGGTCAATTGAATGCCATATGAAATTTATGGGTAGGCTGCCCCCTTAAAAAAAGGAGAAATTTATAAAAGTTCATAACATCTCTATGCTTTTTTTGTCTAGGTCATCAAGGCATAGCGTAGGGCCCTGAGCTTCCAAGCTCTCTCGTTTCAGGATTACCGAAAGGCTGACGCCTATCTGGGGGATCTCCTATTTGTGTATATACATTGAACATTGGAGTTGGGAAAAGAGAAAATGTGCAAAATGAGTTCGGAAAAAGAGAGATTCTGTACAAAAAATACAGTGAATGAACAAGAAGTGTAGATGTAAATCAATGATTGCACATCAAAGGGATACCAGTGCAGTCGAACTGATACTTTGCAATGTAAATACGTAAATGACGCTTTAATTCTGTTAGGGAATCTGAAGTTGTCAATCGGGGTGGGAGACAATTGCAAAGTGTACCAGTTTTCTGTAGGAAGAGACATGAGAAAATTTGGCGATGTGAGTTAAAAATGAGCTTTTTGGGCCTACGGGCACTACGTGAGATGGTAATCGCAAAGCGAGAGAGATAGTCTGGGTAGAATTGATGTACTAAACAAAACAACCGGAGAAATGAAGATACGGCGAAATTGCCGGGATTCCAAGGATTCCAAGTGACACAATCTATTCAAATTAGATTTTGATTCAAAGTTGTCAAAGTCTATTTTCGCAGACCTCAGGAGTCGCCGGCAAACCTTAGCCTGGAGTACATCAAGGGACTCTAACTGAGCGGATGTGATCCTAAGGGATCAGAAAGGAATGACATACTCAATTGCCGGACGTACGTAAGACTTATGCAGGAGAGCAATGTATGATGATGGTAAATGGCAGCCCATAAAGCATAACAGATTAACACGTTGCTGGAACTTCCTGGAGATGGTGTGGAAGTAGTCGTGGAACTTCAAACCATCACTGAGCTCTACACCGAGATGCTTAGCAGAGCGCCCAGATCCGATTAAAACGTTGTTCATGGACACAGAGGAGGAGTCAGGAATGCTGTAGTTGGACAAAATGAAGGTTTTTTTCAGGAAATAATTTGCCATGACATGGCAAATTCTCTCATTGTATTTTCTGTGCCCAATGCTGGCAGCTGGCGAGATCCTGCTGTAGTAGGTGAGTGAGTGAAAGAAAAGTCAGATTTGTTTAGAAAGCTAGGCCGACGAACCCCCAGCAGCGTTCCTAGCAGTGGAATAGGCAAAATGTA